CTTTTTCTTTCTTTCTCTTATATCTGTGTATTTTTTGTCTGTTTCTCTGCTGTTGCTGTTGTGTGTGGCTGTGTGTGTGTGTGTGTGTGTGTGTCGGAGCGTACATGCATACGTGCATGCGTGTATGTGTTTTTTTTTTCTTTCATTGTTTTTATTATTCACTGCCCATATCGTACATACATACGCCTAGATTTACGTACTGCGCACGTATTTATACATACGTTATATACAAAAGCGTTGATTTTAATCGTTCTCGATCCTCTACGTACGCGATGCTACGAAGAGAGGTCGATTTTTTTTATCTCTCTTTCTCTCTCACTCATTCTCTCTCCCTCTCTCTCTCTCTCTTCCTTTCTTAGTCTGCACCTTTTCGTCTATTTCCGATCGCTGCTTCCTTTCAACCTATCCCCTGTTCGCGTTCAAAATCCTTTTCCCTTTTTCGTCTATTATACTACCGACCCTATTTGCGAGCTATTACGAGATTACTCGGAAACGTCTCTTTTCCTTCATCTTTTGGATTCTTTCCTCTTTCTCCTTCTCTTCCTCCTCCTCTTTCTCTTCCCCTTTCTCCTACTCTTTCTCTTCTTCCTTCTCCTTCTTCGTTTTTTCTGTTTTTTTTTTTGTTTTTTTTGTTTTCTCCCTGTCCCTCCCCCCCTCTCCCCTCCGCCCAACTTTTCTTCTCTTTCTTTTTTCTTTTTGCTCCTCCTTGAATACGAATTTTTGCACGAACGGACTCTAACTTGTCCCCACTTCTACCCCTTCTACCTTCACTCCTACTCCAACCCCTTATTTTCTACTCCCTACTCTTTTTTTTTGCTTCCTTTCATGTTCTTTGCAAAATTCCACGTTGACAACCCTCTTTCTTGCTTTTCGTCTGCCATTTCACGTGCGATTACTTGTCTAGAAAATAATTGACAAAAATCTGTCAAGTGTAAGTCGACCCAATTTTCGACAATGATCATCGTTCTATTTCTCTCTCCCTCTCTCTCTCTCTCTCTCTCTCTCTCTTTCCTTCCTTCCTCCCACCCTTTTCATCCCAAACCCACCTTCTCGGATCATCCCCTTCGAAACGACGGGCTCGTCGTTTTGTCACCTCCTTTTCCCTCTCGCACCTCGCGCCTCGCTTAATGTTTTAGCTCGTTTTCTTTTTTTCTTTTCGTTTTCGCTTTTGCTTTGTTATTATTATTATTATTATTATTATTATTATTATTATTATTATTATTATTACTATTATTATTATTGTTACTATTATATGTTTTTTTTATTTTTTCACTTCCTTTTTATTTATTTTTTTTCCTTTTCTTATCCTTTATAAACTATTTTATACATAAGTACAACATCTAAGCGCTCGATTGCTTAAGAAATAAATTCCCATTCGCGTTGCACGCGACGTGTATTTGTGTGTCTGTGTATATGTCACTTGTCATTTATTTCTTTATTTTTATTATTATTATTATTATTATTATTATTCTTTTTTTTCTTTTTTTAATTTTTTACTTATTCATTTTTATGTTTTTTATTATTTTTTTTTTTCTTTTATCCTCTAATCTTTTAACCTCCATCATATTCAAATTCGACGAACTCTTCAAATTTCGGACTTTACAAATCACTTTGCGAATAGGATAATTGTAGAAAATAATAAAGAAACAAACGAAAAAAAAGATATATATATATATAACGGCACATATATATATAAAGGAAATAAGTGGAACAATACGTATTGATCATTAAAATCATTACATTTTCCATGGATTTGTCGTTTAATCCTAAGTATGTTAAGATTAGTGCAAATTGGTTGTCCGGTCGTGTGATTCAAAACAGATTGGTATTCGTTCGAAAAAGATTTTCTTGTTATTTTTAAATTTTTTATTCATAAGGAACACATCCCGTCGAAAGGAAGGAAGAAAGAGGAAGGAAGAAAGAAAAAAAGAAAGAGAGAAAGAGAGAGAGAGAGAGAGAGAGAGAGAGAGAGAGAGAAAAGAACGAATGAACGAATGAACGAACGAACGAACGAACGAACGAAAGAAAAAAAGAAAAAAAGAAAGAGAGAACAAAGGAATATCTTTTCTCCTTCGTTCTCTTTTCTTATCCTTTTCTATCTATCCCTCTCTCTTTCTCTCTCTCTCTCTCTCTCTCTCTCTCTCTCTCTCTCTCTCTCTCTTTTTCATCGTCCATGTCGCGCGGCGCGTTTGGATTCTTACTCGCACACATCTACACTCTTAAAACACAAGTACATAGTTTCTTTTCTAGTCCGACGACGACGACGAAGAAGACGAGCGAGAGTCGTCGACCGATTCCGAGTGCAGTCAGTCAGTCCCGGTCTTTATTTTCTCGCGATTAAACTTCGAGTCTCGTCCGTGTTCGTTCCTTTTCGTTTCTCCTTCTCCATCTTCTCCTCCTCCTCCTCCTCCTCCTCCTCCTTTTCCTCCTTCTCCTCCACTTCCTCCTCCACTTCCTCCTCCTCCTATTTCTCCTTTTCCTGCTTCTCCTCCTCCTTCTCCTCCTCCTCCTCCTCCTCCTCCTCCTACACCACTGTTTTCGTCTCCGCCTTCGTCTCCACCTACGCCACCTCCTTGGAAAAGAAAAGGTGTCCCGTTGAAAGCGCGTGATTGTGCGAACAACTCAAACGACGTTGTGAGACAAGGATCTGTCGTCTCGCCAAGCGTTGGCTGGAAAGAAAAAATCATCTTTTTAAATTCCTCATCGAGAATATTCCTCGATGATGTAATGAACGTTCCCGGCTTCGAGAAAGTTTGGATGATCGGCTTGTGTTACCTCTATAATGCATGTCCTGGGCCATCGTCGGACATTTTGCGTCTGGTCGCTGGAAAAGAGAAAACAAACAATGGGGAAAAAATGTGGCGAAAGAATGAAAAGTAAATATTCTTCTTTTCTTTTCTCTTTTTTCTTTTTTTTCTCTTTTTTTTTTTTCTTCTTTTTTCGCTTTTTCCTTTTTTGCTCTTTTTTCTTGTTTGTTTTTTCTTTTTCTTTATCTTTTCCACCTAATCGCGATTATTTCTCGTGCGATCACATTCCTAAACTTTATATGTACATATATATATATATATCTTTTTCTTTTTTTTTTTTTTTTTTTTTTTATTATATTATACTTTGAATATTTATTTGTTCGTTAATGTGATGAAATTTAGAGAAATTTTAACTGAATTTATATTAACCGTAGAGAAGTATAATTATGATAATATAATAATTATTACACAATCATTTTCATATAGAGGAACACAAAGTGAACGTATAAATAATCATCAATAATTTTCACATATTGTCTTCTCTCTCTTTCTCTCTCGAGTAGTAAATATAATATAATTTATAAATATATATATATATATTAGTTTCTGTTTCCTTTACAAAATCACTTTTCAAGAAAATCCACGATAGCAACATAATATCTAATTCGCGTGGTGCTTATCAGAATTTTCTCTTGAAATCGATGTATAGTGCGGAATGGATATTCGACTAAATGCAAAAAAAAAAAAAAAATAATATAAAATAAAAAAATAAAAAAATAAAAAAAAAAAAAGAATGGAAATTGATCCGATACGTGAGATAATTCTTTAAAACCTTTTTAGCGAGGACATCTTTTTTCTCTAATTTTTTTTCTCTCTTTTTTTTTCTTCTTCTTTCTTTTTTTCCTTTCGTGTTCCTTCCGTACCATTGCCATCGTACCGAAAAAGATTTCATTTTTGGCCGAGAGACTCGGGGAGCTTTTGGTAACGGTCGAGTAGAAAGAATTTAGGGTAGGTAAGTGATGAGTCAGATCAGATTCGCTCGTATGATTTTGCTGAATGTTGTGTGGGGAGCTGGCTACGAAAGGGAGTGGCTTTCATTCTCTCTCTCTTTCTCTCTCTCTCTCTCTCTCTTTCTCGTTTTCCAAGCGACCTCGCTGATAGGACACCAATCACTTCCATTGCCTTCCAGTGGTTCTTTGAAGAAATTTAACAAAAAAGCTTCGAACGAATCTATTCTCTGATTCTATTTCTCCGTTGCCGAAAATGAGAGAAATTTTCCCCTCTCGTCATCTCTCCTCCCCCTTCCCCAACCCACATTCAAAATATCTTGAATTATCCAACGTTCGGATCTCTTTTTATTATTTAATCACTCATCGTATTTCTCTTGATATCAAGCGAAATATGTAAGTAAAAAAAATATAGATATATAAGATAGATATTAGAAAATTGTATTAGATAGATAGATACCTTGCGGAAATTGATGTTCGTTCGTATAGTCCTATGATGAAGGTCTTGCAAGGGTCTGGAATTATTACCGAGGGGTGCCTTCGGGGCGCTGGCGGGACCCTGCATGAGTTTCCTCAGGGCATACAACTGCAAACAAAGCAAAGTGTACCTTGTCGCTAGTAATTCGACTAAAACTTCCCAACTCCCTGGTGTTTATTGTTAAACGTGAGATTTATAGCATATCGATATACATATTTATATATATATATACATATATATATATATACATATACATACACATACACAAAAACATATTTTTTTTTTGTTTTTTAATCTTTTTTCGAGCACTCATCCGATTAGCCAACGAACTCAATAATGAAAATTCTTTTCTATTCACATTGACCATTCTCTGCAATTTTAATCCGATACTGTCCTATTTTCACATGGATATGTACATATATATATATATATATATATATATATATATATATATATGAATGTTTTATGTTACAGATATCCGTTGCAGACAATTACATATTGATGTTACATTAATGAAGAACGACTAATGGAACGACTAAAAAGCTAATGGACCATTGAGAAGTCCATGTCGGAATAAGATATGCTTTCAGATAAGAGTTAACTATTTACATACCTCTTGTGCAGTAATGTAAATAGGTTTGTTAAGTATCAGCCAAACTGCAGTTTCCCAACATCCTGGATGTGTTGTACTCCCTTCGTAAGTCATGTAACCATTCGTATCCGGAAGTAAACTTCTCAAGGATAGATAACTCACCTGTGCCGTATCGCCTAAGCAAAAAAATTTTCACATTATCATTTTGTTAATATTAAACAATAATTTAATATTAACTAAATTAATATTAACGAATATTAACAATAATTTCAATTCTATGAAAAAAAAAGTCATATTTTCTTTTTTTGATCGTTCAAAAACTTACACTTCCAATCAATTTTTCTATTTTTTTTTGTTTCTCAAAATCCATAGGTTAAGTTTTACTTTTCTAAGGAAAAGTTTTAAGGATCAGACACAATCAGGACTCGTAATCGTTAGCACGTGACAAATTCTTTTGCCGATCACGTAGCTCGATGACTAATCGATTTTTTTTTCTCTCAAGAATTTTTCCACGCTTTTCTCTCGACATCGTCTGGAGCTATAAAAATTGAAGGGAGAAAGTAAGACGAGGAAGAGGAGGAGGAGGAGGAGGAGGAGGAGGAGGAGGAGGAGGAGGAGGAGGAAGATGAGAAAGGAGGACGAGGAGAAAGAAGGAGGAGGAAAAAGAGATAATACGCGAAGAAGGAGGGATCTAGTCAGGGTTGTGGGACCCTTCTTCTCCTTACGGTTCGTTTCCTTTAAACGACTTCATCTTCAGCTCGTGAGAATAACCACGAGAATGGTTTGTCTTATGAATTTAAGTTTCCTTCAAGATTTTCCCTTTGCGGTATTTATTATATCGTATTCTCAAACGTCTTCGTTATGGTTCCAACAAATTCTCATCAGATTATATTTATCGATTGCGATGATTTCTTTTTTTTTTTATTCTTTTTGTTAATGTTTTTGTTTTTCTTCTTTTAATTTTTTTCTTTTTTCTTTTTTTCGTCGATTTATCGTCAAATATAATTGTATACCCCGATAGAGATCTCTTTCGTACGGAATAGAGAAAATTTCTTGAAGGAGAAATTTTCTCTCAATTTCTAACGTTTTCCAATGTGAAAGACACCTACACACATACATACACACAAACACACACATACATACATACATACATACGTACGTACGTACATACGTATGTATGTACGTACATTGGTTGGTATGACGAAGGTTCACGAAGGACACGACTGGAAATTACTTGTACACGAAATTCGTCGTAGAAAGGTGCTTTTGAACTTTCAACGCCCAAGTCGTAGAAACGAAAAGTAAGAAAAACGCCGATGAATTCTGTAGACGGAAAGAAAGGGAGCAAAAGAAGGTGTGCTTGCACTGTGCACTGCAATGATTGCCGCTGTACAAATATACCAAGTTCCTACGTATACTAAGGGTTCCCTATAGATACATACATACATGCATATATATATATATATATATATATATATACATGTATGTATGCATGTATGTATGTATATACATACAGGGTGTTCCATTGAAATTCTGTCGTAGGAATAGTCGTCGTCGTCGTCGTCGTCGTCGTCGTCGTTGTCGTCTTTGTCGTATATGTTTCGAAGAAAGTGAGGTGACTTTAGAAAGTTTCAAATACAACAAATGATATATCGTAGGGAAACTTTTATCGGAGTTTTTTTCCTCCAAAGTTAGAAATTTTTTTCATAAAACATCGATTCAATTCAAGAATCGTTTGGATCGAAAATTAGTTAGTTTATCGAGTTTATCGATTGCGAGTTATTTAAAAAAATAAAGATTTTTATTCGCAATCAAAAATAAAGTTGTTTAGGAATATTCTCTGTTACAAAGTGCTGCATCGATCGTCTCATATATGGGTAGATATTGTTATGTGATATATATATATATATATATATATATATATATATACGTACATACATATATATATATATATATATATATATATCTTCGAATGGATACGTCTAGCTAGCTCTCGATCGTTCTCCAACAGCCGTTGCGGTGGATGCTGATAGGCGTCACTTGTCAAACGTATCGAACTGGCAATAGGGTCATTTTGTATGCCATCCTTTCTCTCGAAGATGTTTATATCTAAAGGAAATTTCGATTTAGAAATTTCTCTATTGACAAAATAGATATATCCCATGCTTGGAAATAATATCACGAAATTTATATTATTTTTCTTTTGTATCTTTTTTCTTTTTTCTTTTATCTTTTTTTTTTATTATTATCTCTATATACTATCTCTCAAATCTATATTCTACGATATTTTTTACGGTATTTAAGATCGAAGGTCGTAGTCGAAACGAGTGTTATCAGTTTGTGAGAAAAATTTTTCATGGCTCATAGAACGTCGTTATCTCTCTCGTTCTCTCTCTCTCTCTCTCTCTCTCTCTCTCGCTCTGTAAGAAACGAGTTGCCATAGCAAAGAAGAATTTGATAGCCGTCTAAGTAAACTTCGCTATTTCCTTCGAACTTGGCTCTATGGTATCGTGTCGTTCACATACACCTGGCCGGACGAGAAATTCATGAAACTTTGAATTCATAGTGAAAGAGGTTGTATTCGATAAGATCGATAAGATCGAGAGATGTATAGACGGATAGATAGATAGAAAGAGAGATAGAAAGAGAGAGAGAGAGAGAGAGAGAGAGAGAAAGAAAGAGAGAGGATAGAAATCAAAGAGAAGAACTACCGTCGAATTTTGTCGACGATGAAAACTCCCGTCTGTGAAAGCGTCTCGCGTCTTTCCTCCCCCTTTCATTCATGGATGGTTCATCCATTTGCTAGAAATATCCGAATACATGTCATATATAATACTATGCTATAGTATAGTGGAAAGATATTCATACCAATCGAAATCGTCGATGATAGGCTGGTCTACCGATTCGATTGAAGCGGCGTGCCATCGATGTTATATTTACATACACGCATTTACATAAATACATACATACGTACATATATACTCGTCTATAGATCATCGCGTTCAACTCCTCCTACTCCTCTTTACTTCCTCTCTCTCTCTCTCTTTCTCTCTCTCTCTCTCTCTCTCTCTCTCTCTCTCCGTCTCTCACTTCTCTTCCCTTTTTATTCATAGTATATTCGCAAATAAGAAAAAAAAAAAAATGTAACCACCAGTCATCCCTTATTTCTTTACGCGTATCTCAAAAGCAAAGTATCATCAGAAGCTAACGTAGGTAAGCAGTTTCGTTCGACTTAGGTATCACCATTACTGTATACACAGACAAGCATCTATTTCTTGTATTGAGTTGGTGACATTAAGGACGGACTGCCGGCCTTATGGCACTCGTAAATGGTACCTCGACATAGAGGTGGCTGGAGAGGGACGATGGAGGGAGCAAAGAACGAGGAGGTTAGAAGCTTGAAGGTAGTTTTTGCGCACTTTCTTTCTCTCTCTCTCTCTCTTTCCCTCTCTCTCTCTTTCTCTCTACTCACACTATTTTCCTTCTCTTTCTCCTCGTCATTCTGCTTTTTCTCCTTCTCCTCCTCCTCTTCCTCCTTCTGCTTCTGCCTTTGCTTCTTTCGACACTCTTCACCTTCGGCCGGCTTCGCGAAGGAAGATTCTTAGGTCGCCATTCAGCGAGCTTAGAGGGCGTAAAGTAGGAGCTGTCAAGCTTTTCTAAGCGAATCCCTCTTCCTGCCGACACCTCTTCCTCTCTTTCCTCTTTTTTTTTCTTTTTTTTTTTCTTTACTTTTCTCTTTATCTCTCTCTTTCTCTCTCTCTCTCTTTCTTTCTTTCTCTGTCTGTCTATCTATGTTGTTACCACGTTTACTACGATATACTAGTCGGTTATACACACCGCCGTAGGAATTGTACATTCTATTTTCTTCTCTCTCTCTTTCTCTCTTTCACTCTCTTTCTCTTTCTCTTTTCTTTTTTTATTTCTTTCTCTCTCTCTCTCTCTCTCTCTCTCTCTCTCTCTCTCTCTCTCTCTCTCTTCCTTTCTTCTTTTTTTTCCATTTTATTTTATTTTACCAACCACAGCGTGTTTTCTCCGTTTGCGACACCCTCTATATATGTGTACACACATATATATATATATATGTGTGTACATGTATATGTACACATATTACGTCGAACGACACACCCTCTTTACACACGCATATATATATATATATATGTATGTATAAATACATACAGGTGGCTATGTATGTATAAAGAGAACAGATTCGTATATAAACCGTACTCCGTAGATTTTTATTTTTATTTATCGTGCGTCCTGATTTCCTTCGCGGCCGAGAAAAGGTTAGACGGATGGCGGCTTTCGAAGGGAGGAAAAGAAAGGAAGTCTACCGGGGGATGACAAATAATAACGAGCGAGCAAGAATGGAAAAATATCAAGCGAGCGAGGAGAGTAAAGGGGAGGAGAAGAAAGAGGAGGAGGAGGAGAAGAAGGAGGAGGAGGAGGAGGAGGAGGAGGATTCGAACGTTGGAAAAGTGCTGTTCGCGGTGGAGGATGAAGATGAGGATGAAGAAGAAGAAGAAGAAGAAAAGGGACGACGAGATTCCCTCGTGATTAATGAAATACATTAACTCTTTCCACTCTTGCCGAGAGGTTAGGATTTACAATAGAGCTATGTACGTCGCGATCTCTTTCTCTCTCTCTCTCTCTTTCTGTCTCTGTCTCTTCGTCTCTCGTTTTCTTTATCTCTCTTTCCTCCTCTTCCTCCTTCTCTCGCTGCTACTGCTGCTGCTTCTTCTCTTTCTAATTGTATCATATACGCGTTGCCTCTAGATTACACATATATTACGCGTTATAATCTTTTCTTTCACGTGTGTATGCGTGTGCGCCTGAGCGAAGGCTCAAATATTTTTATGCTAATGCACAGCAAGCGAAAGGATTTATGGTTTGCCCGTGGTCGAGAAAAATTCGTAACTTTAGGAAAAGTTGTGCTTCGCTTATATTCTTTTTCTTTTTTTTTTTCTTTTTTTTCTTTTCTTTTTTTTTTTTTTTTTCATTGCCGTTGTTTCTAGAGGCGAGAGTAGTTTGGATTTTTTTTTCGTTTTTTTTTCTTTATTTTCTTTCTTTTCTCTTTCTTTTATCTTTTCTCTTTGTTTCTTTCTTTCTCCTTTTTTTTCTTTTTTTTTTTTTTGTTAGGAGCGAAATTAAATTTAGAATTTTTCTTTTTTTTCTTTTT